AAGTAAAATTAATGGTAATGATCTTAATCTCTATTTGTAAAACATAGTGTTAGTTTCTGATTGCTAAATTTGTGAAATTGGTTGGCTGTGTGAGTTATTGATATGGATGTAAAGAAATGGGAGCCCCAAAAATGTGCCTCGAGGCACCTTAAAATTTCAGAGGTTTTACAAGTATGTGCCTTGGGATACAATAAAACTGATTTATTTGTCTCGGTCCTAGCAATATTCTGTAACAACATATACAGTATGTTCATGGTTAGAGTGGAAAAAAGGGAAAATATTTTTATTTTTCATTTTACGAGAAAAATGCATTATTGATTAAAATTTTTGCTCGTCTTTAAAATGCGGTTGGCATGGAGATCTTTCATCTTGCACGTACAGGGTGATCAGAAAATCGGTAAATATAAAAATCGTTCAAGAATAAACTGCCTTTTTGCTCATCATTCAAATATAATTGGCATGAAGAACTTTATTTAGTAATTTTGCCAAAACATTGTATTAAATAAATTTTTTGCTGCAATGTAAGCATTAGGGTGGTCCAAAAAAATTAATTTTTTTTTTCGTCTTGTGAAAATATGTTAGCTTATCATGTTTTAAGAGCCCCCTCAAAAAAACAGCTCAAAAAATTTTTTTAGAGGTCGCTCAAGAATTTCCAAAATCGGCAGAAATTGAATTCTAAAAAAAAATTTTCTCGTTATCTTTATCGTTTTTGTCGACCTCTAAAAATAAAAAATATCAATGAACTAATTTTTTTTTTATTGAATTTGATGAACAAAATAATAGAAATAAATCACGACACTTAAATTTTAAAAAATTAAAAAATTATAAATATTTGATACTCGCATTGCGGTAGTAAATTTTGCCTCGAGAAATTTTTTAAGTGTCTCGTGATTTATTTTTATTCTTTTGTTCATGAAATTCAATAAAAAAAATTATTAGTTCGTTGATATTTATTTTTAGAGGTCACTCGAAAACATTTTAGGTACACTACTTTTAAAGTTAAAATATTATGAGTGACCTTTAGAAATGAAAATATCGATTTGAAATTTTCTGAATCAAATTTTTTCAACCTAGAAAATACAATTTTTAAAAAAATTCAATTTTTGACGATTTTGGAAATTTTTAAAAATCTTGAACGACAAGACTTCACAAGACATGAAAAAAAAAAATTTGTTTTTTTTGCGCTACCCTAGTGCCCACGAAAAAGTTATGGGGGTTCCAAACCAAAAAACGTAGCAATATCAGATTCCACACGTTATAAAACCTCTGTGTAGCAAATTTAGTGATTCTCGTAAAACAGGGTTCTGTGATATAAAAAGACTATTTTTAGGGGCGGATTTCAGGGTGCTTTAACTCCAAAAGAGGAGGCCACTTGGCAAAAATAAAAAATTCGGGTCCTCTAAATTTGTCTGAAGAATCTAACCAAATTTTGTTCCATTAATTTCGGGACACCCTGTATGTGCCTCGGGACACTATAAAACTTGTATTTTCATAGTTCTCAGAAATAGTTCACGACATACACTTTCCTTCATTTAGTTTACTTTCATAAAAGTTTTGAAACTAAAATTAATGGTAATGAAACTAATCTCAATCCACAAAAAAAATAACCTTGTTCATTCTTGTTGTTTGCTTTTATGTAATTCTCGATCTCCATCAGTTCAGTGACAATGTATTTCTCGTGACGATACGAAGCAAAACAGTTGGTTCGTTCGTCGGTTGTCTCACCTATGACACACCGATGAGGACTAATAGGTCCGAAACCGGTCTGTGCCTGGTGGGTTAAACTGACAAACGACCCTAGCTGTTGCGAGTATAATTCAATACCGGTAGGGGCATATAGCCCTCGGAGTAGTTGTTTCTCGCAACACTGACAATTAAAACATTGTCTTCGCCCTCTGTGGGTGGCAGTCGTGCAACAAGTACCTCCTATATTGCAGGTACTTCCTACTATAGCCATTTGAATGGCACAGTCGAGAGTCAGCACAACAGATGGAGCCATTTGCGCTCCTGCGTACAAAAATGATCTTTATTTTCTTCCAAAAAATGTGGAACAAATTAATGGTAATGATCCTAATACTTACCCATAAAAAATAGTTTTATTGTTTCTTTTTTATTGCTAAATTTATGTAGCTCCCAGTTGGCTGTGGGTCAACGATGTGGATTTAAAAATTTGGGAGCCCCAAAAGTGTGCCTCGAGGCATCTTAAAATCCCAGAAGCCTTGCAACGCACAAACTTTTATACTTTCAGTGAAAAAAAACAAAGAAATTGTTAATTTATAATTTAATGCTCTTGTTACAAAAAATATAAATCAATAGAATAAGTCAATGCATAAATATAAAATATGGATAATAATTACATACGATTTTATCAATTCTTTGCACTTTTTTTGACATTTTGGACTTAAATTAACAAAGATTGAGATGTGACTACTCTGTGACGAATTCAAACGCAATTTGATTATTCCACGGAGGATTTCGTGCTAATTCGAGTATCTTTATCGATTTAAGCCCGCAAATACTGGATATCTAATAAATATAGATAAAAAAATAAATAAGTAACTGAGTCACAGTCACAACCGGCGTCTCCCCTATAAAAATTTCCTACCGCGAACCGCAGGTCCCGAAAAGGCGCCAGCGGCTCAGTCTAACCTACAATTTTGACCAGGACGCGAACTCTGCACTATAATGGAGGGAATCAATGGAAATAAAAAAATAGTTTGAGATTCGACTTTCAGTACGGCGATTCATTGTGGTCCATCGTTACGGCACCAAAAGAGGTTCACCTCGAAGAGATGCTTAACTCCTAACCTAGATTTACAAACGAGTCCTAAAAACTATAAAACATCAAAAGTTAGCGTAACAAATACAGTGCGTTAAATTGCAATAATCTCCTTGTTTGGCAATCGTTTCTTAATGTTTACCACAAATTACGTTCTCAACTGAATGATTTAAGAGTCCTTAAAAACTAGTCGATTTTTTTTGTTCCTAAACGTTGATCTCGTCGGCATAACTACGACCAGCGTAATTACTTAAGAAAATAGACTTTTCGAAATATTGGGAACGTTCTCGCTTAAATTGTGATAAATCTTGCAGTCGTTATTAGGAAATACCGCCGAAAATTGACTTTATAGAAATGCCCGATCGACTTCCCAGTCGCGTTTAAATTGGAAAAAATAAATTCCTATACAAGCAGGAAGCATGTAGTCCCTTAACTAGAATTTCACAGCAGGTTACTTAGATTAAGTGATATATTTGAAATTGTTGCCCGAACACCAGCGTAAAACGAAAAAGTGCCGCCCTTTACCGTATTCTCGAACCCACTAGCCCCGACGCGGATCCCCGAGGTTCACTTTTTCGAATCACGCCCAGAATTTTTTTTTATAGATATTACAGCCTCGATTCAGTATTTCAACAACAAAGATAAATTAGGTGTGTGAAGTCTTTAAATTACAAAGTTAAAGTTGTCTTTACCTTAAGTACCACACGGTTCGTGTATTTAAGTACTGATAAAGGTACTCGCGGGCGGCTTTTAGGTTTCTTCGTGAGCGGGAGGGTTCAGAGGACGTAAAACGATTCTCGGGTCGCTCTCGACCATACGGTCCGTATCTTCGTTACTGAAAAAAATTAAAAAATTAGGTTCTTCCCGAGAAAATTCGTAGGTTCTTACGTAAGCTCCTTGTTTTCCTGGGGCATGAGCTTGCTCTGTTCCGTGTCCTCCTGTTGAGCCGGCTGGTAAGCCACTTCGGATACGGGGGCGTACTGCGCTGCTACCAGCAGATCCGTGGACGGATTGACTGTGAGCGCCTGACCGCCCGAGGTGCCCATGTGGTCTTTTGCGTTTCTCCAACACATCCTCCTGGTTAGACGCAGGAAGAACACTTTGAAAGGACAAGGTACGGTATTAAAGATCTGCAGGTTTTCATTACTGGCGCTAGCGCCATCTACTGGTGAATACAGCGAGTAAAGTGGATTCATAATTCAGGAGAGGTCTAACATTTGCCGCATTTAGATTTTGGAGATAAAATTTCTAGATCGGTCAAGTACCGCAGCGTTTAACGTTATAAAAATACGGTGGAGATTCAAACTTATATATCAAGGTTGATAATAATTAATTTGCCCCAAAATGATGGATGGTTGCGNGACAAGGTACGGTATTAAAGATCTGCAGGTTTTCATTACTGGCAGTTAGCGCCATCTACTGGTGAATATAGCGAGTAAAGTGGATTCATAATTCAGGAGAGGTCTAACATTTGCCGCATTTAGATTTTGGAGATAAAATTTCTAGATCGGTCAAGTACCGCAGCGTTTAACGTTTTAAAAATACGGTGGAGATTCAAACTTATATATCAAGGTTGATAATAATTAATTTGCCCCAAAATGGTGGATGGTTGTGATACTTTATCAATTTTGGGACTTTATTTAAGGATAAAGTCCCTAGGTCGACCAATTGTTGTCATTTGCTCCAAAAAGGTGGTTTGACTTGTCAGTTTGTGCTATTTACATAATATATAAAAAAAATGATCAAAGTTCTATTGTATAAAGTTTCTAGATCATCCAAGTATTACAGCCTTTTCGTCATAAAAATATGGTGAAAATTCAAACATATATCAGGTTTGATAATAATTAATTTGCCCCAAAATGGTGGGTGGTTGCGGTACTTTATGAATCTCAGGACTTTATTAAAGGATAAAGTCCCTAGATCGACCAATTGTTGTCATTTGCTCCAAAAAGGTCGTTTGACTTATTAGTTTGTACTTTTTCCATATATTAAAAAATTATCAAAGTTCTATCGTATAAAGTTTCTAAATCGACCAAGAAATATTGTGAAGATTCAAACTTATATATCAAAGTTGATAATAATTAATTTGCCCCAAAATGGTGGATGGTTGCGGTACTTTATCAATTGCTTTATTTAATGATAAAGTTGTTGATTTGCTCCAAAACTCCTTGACTTGGCAGTTTGTGCTATTTACATATATTAAAAAATGATCAAAGTTCTATTGTACAAAGTATCTAGATCGACTAAGTACACCTTATAAAAATATGGTGGACATTCAAACTTATATATCAAGTTTGATGATAATAAATTTGCCCCAAAACGATGGACGGTTGCGGTACTTTATCAATCTTGGGACTTTATTTAAGGATAAAGTCCCTAGGTCGACCAATTGTTGTCATTTGCTCCAAAAAGGTGGTTTGACTTGTTAGTTTGTACTATTTCCATATATTAAAAAATTATCAAAAGACCATATAAAGTTTCTAAATCGACCAAGAAA